GCCCCCACCCTCCCTACACCTTTTGAGCTGCTGAGACTAATATTAACGACTATCTTATCTACTTTCTATCGTGTCTACTGTTTACATTGTGAACGGACTTGGGGTTTCTACAACTTGCTTATTTAGCTTATTCCATTTTCCTACTAATTTTCAGGTAAAGAAACTTTGAGACTTCAATAATTGATGTGGGGAGCCGGTGGCTGAGCGGACAGAACACTGGACGCGTGATCCTGTGCTCCCGGGTTCGATCCCGGGCGCCGGCGAGAAACAATGGGCAGAGTTTCTTTCATCCTGATGCCCCCTGTTACCTAGCAGTAAATAGGTGCCTGGGAATTAGTCAGCTGTCACGGGCTGCTTCCTGGGGGTAAAGGCCTGGTCGAGGACCGGGCCGCCGAGACACTAAGCCCCGAAATCATCTCAAGATAACCTCAAGATAAGATAACCTCTACGTTGTCTGTTACGCTGTACTCACCTACTTGTGCTAGCGACGGTTGAGCTTCGGCTCTTGGGTCCCGCCTCTCGACTGTCAAGTAACTGGTGTTCAGATGATAGAGCCTATTAGGCTCAGGAATATCTACACTTTAAACTGTGTATGGAGTCAGCCACCACCACCGTCTCTCTCCTGTGCTGGCGAGGGTAACACCAGACTTCTTCTTAAATGTGTGGTAAAGACTTGAGTCTTTACCAAGTGTGTCCCCCCCCCCGGGCTGGTCATGTCTCTCCAGTGTTAGTGTCTTGAGGTTATCTTGAGATGATTTCGGGGCTTTTTAGTGTCCCCACGGCCCGGTCCTCGACCAGGCCTCCACCCCCAGGAAGCAGCCCGTGACAGCTGACTAACACCCAGGTACCTATTTTACTGCTAGGTAACAGGGGCATAGGGTGAAAGAAACTCTGCCCATTGTTTCTCGCCGGTGCCTAGGATCGAACCCAGGACCACAGGATCACAAGTCCAGCGTGCTGTCCGCTCGGCCGACCAGCTCCCCTGCTCTCTCTCTCTCTCTATATATATATATATATATATATATATATATATATATATATATATATATATATAGTGTGCTATAGTCCACGGTGTGGTGTAGTATAGGACAGCATAGTATAGTGTAGTACACCTCAACACTGCCCTCCCCCCCCCTCCCCGGGTACACTTACACCTCTACAACACCTCACACTGCTTCTCAAGTCTCCGGGACAGGAAGCCTGGGCTACGTCTCCTAGATCAACGACGCAACCGCAACAGTTGTCTACCCCATCGGTACCTGTGTGCTGCTGGGTGGACGAACGCATCGGGTGAACAGAAGCATCAGGTGGACGAACGCATCGGGTGAAGAGAATCATCAGGTAGACGCAAGCCTCACCATACATCTCGCCCTGCACAGGACTCGAACCCTGGACCACTGGGTAGGAAGTGTGGTGATGACTGTGCAACACAGCACCGTTGTACAGTGTCCTCAGTGTCGGGTCATTATATATCCCAGGACACTCACACTATGCCGTAGTGCCTTGAGTCAGTACCCGCTGCTGGCTATGGTGTGTGGGGGGGGGGGGGGGTAGTGGGTGGTGGTAGCGGGTGGTGGTAGAGGGTGGTGGTAGAGGAAGGTGTGGGTGGTGGTAGCGGGTGGTGGTAGAGGGTGGTGGTAGAGGAAGGTGTGGGTGGTGGTATCGGGTGGTGGTAGAGGAAGGTGTGGGTGGTGGTAGCGGGTGGTGGTAGAGGGTGGTGGTAGAGGAAGGTGTGGGTGGTGGTAGCGGGTGGTGGTAGCGGGTGGTGGTAGCGGGTGGTGGTAGAGGGTGGTGGTAGAGGAAGGTGTGGGTGGTGGTAGCGGGTGGTGGTAGAGGGTGGTGGTAGAGGAAGGTGTGGGTGGTGGTAGCGGGTGGTGGTAGAGGGTGGTGGTAGAGGAAGGTGTGGGTGGTGGTAGCGGGTGGTGGTAGAGGGTGGTGGTAGAGGAAGGTGTGGGTGGTGGTAGAGAGGAAGGTGTGGGTGGTGGTAGCGGGTGGTGGTAGAGGGTGGTGGTAGAGGAAGGTGTGGGTGGTGGTAGCGGGTGGTGGTAGAGGGTGGTGGTAGAGGAAGGTGTGGGTGGTGGTAGCGGGTGGTGGTAGAGGGTGGTGGTAGAGGAAGGTGTGGGTGGTGGTAGCGGGTGGTGGTAGAGGGTGGTGGTAGAGGAAGGTGTGGGTGGTGGTATCGGGTGGTGGTAGAGGAAGGTGTGGGTGGTGGTAGCGGGTGGTGGTAGAGGAAGGTGTGGGTGGTGGTAGCGGGTGGTGGTAGAGGGTGGTGGTAGAGGAAGGTGTGGGTGGTGGTAGCGGGTGGTGGTAGCGGGTGGTGGTAGAAGGTGGTGGTAGAGGAAGATGTGGGTGGTGGTAGCGGGTGGTGGTAGAGGGTGGTGGTAGAGGAAGGTGTGGGTGGTGGTAGCGGGTGGTGGTAGAGGAAGGTGTGGGTGGTGGTAGCGGGTGGTGGTAGCGGGTGGTGGTAGAGGGTGGTGGTAGAGGAAGGTGTGGGTGGTGGTAGCGGGTGGTGGTAGAGGGTGGTGGTAGAGGAAGGTGTGGGTGGTGGTAGCGGGTGGTGGTAGCGGGTGGTGGTAGAGGGTGGTGGTAGAGGAAGGTGTGGGTGGTGGTAGCGGGTGGTGGTAGAGGGTGGTGGTAGAGAGGAAGGTGTGGGTGGTGGTGGTGGAGAAGGGTGTGGCGCGGGCCACCAGCATCACCACCACCAGTCAGGGATGAGCTTATCATCTTGGTAGTGATGATGACCTACACTCATCATCCTCCTCCTCCTCCCTCCCTCCTAATGAGCCCACCACTGCACGCTCCCCTCCTCCATTGTATCTTACCACCACATAGAACACTGTGTCAAGAACAATGAAGAACAGCCTGAAGAACACCCGGATCTCTGTAGCTACTAGTACCCACAATACAAATGTTCTCTGTCAAGAGAAAACCTTCAAAACGTATCTATAAAACAAACAAAAAATTATTTACTATATCCATCAGTCCGTCCTTCTAAGGTTTCAATCGTTAAGAAAACGGTCAATATAAAGTGTTCTTATCCTAACCTGCCAGAGGACCCACAACAGAAAACGGGACAGTATGACACTTTCGCCAGCCGCTTTCATTTTCTAGTACGACAATTTTTGGCCGTATGTAACGCATGCGAGCGAAAAGTGACGGTCTTTGTAGGAGGACAGGTTGTAGGAGGACGGGTTGTAGGACAGGGTGTAGTAGGACAGGGTGTAGGAGGACAGACTGTAGGAGGACAGGCTGTAGGAGGACAGGTTGTAGGAGGACAGGGTGTAGGAGGACAGACTGTAGGAGGACAGGCTGTAGGAGGACAGGGTGTAGGAGGACAGACTGTAGGAGGACAGGCTGTAGGAGGACAGGGTGTAGGAGGACAGGGTGTAGGAGGACAGGCTGTAGGAGGACAGGGTGTAGGAGGACAGGGTGTAGGACAGGGTGTAGGAGGACAGGCTGTAGGAGGACAGGCTGTAGGACAGGCTGTAGGACAGGCTGTAGAAGGACAGGCTGTAGGAGGACAGGGTGTAGGAGGACAGGCTGTAGGACAGGCTGTAGGACAGGCTGTAGAAGGACAGGCTGTAGGAGGACAGGCTGTAAGAGGACAGGCTGTAGGAGGACAGGCTGTAGGAGGACAGGCTGTAGGAGGACAGGCTGTAGGAGGACAGGCTGTAGGAGGACAGGCTGTAGAAGGACAGGCTGTAGGAGGACAGGCTGTAAGAGGACAGGCTGTAGGAGGACAGGCTGTAGAAGGACAGGCTGTAGGAGGACAGGCTGTAAGAGGACAGGCTGTAGGAGAACAGACTGTAGGAGGACAGGCTGTAGGAGGACAGACTGTAGGAGGACAGGCTGTAAGAGGACAGGCTGTAGGAGAACAGACTGTAGGAGGACAGGCTGTAAGAGGACAGGCTGTAGGAGAACAGACTGTAGGGGGACAGGCTGTAGGAGGACAGGCTGTAGGAGGACAGGCTGTAGGAGAACAGACTGTAGGAGAACAGACTGTAGGAGAACAGACTGTAGGAGAACAGACTGTAGGAGAACAGACTGTAGGAGGACAGACTGTAGGAGGACAGACTGTAGGAGAACAGGGTGTAGGAGGACAGACTGTAGGAGGACAGATTGTAGAAGAACAGACTGTAGGAGAACAGACTGTAGGAGAACAGAGTGTAGGAGAACAGACTGTAGGACAATCTTCCGTGGACCAACAAAACGGAAGACGTTTTATCTACCGGACAAGGTGTGGGGGGAGAGGGGGGGGAGGAGGATTGTAAGCCTAAACTGAATAAGATGGAACTCGTAGTGAGTTATTACTGATAGAAACTTATTACAGTTCGTCGTGTCCCATTATCATCAACTAGCCTAAGGTAGAAAGTCTAGTTAAGTCGCGCCAATGTAATTATGTCATCAATAACTGACAATTAATCTGAGGTGATCAACTTGTATCAACTCTCGGGTCATATCTACGTGTAAAGCTTTGCCGTTATTCAATATTTACTTTGTCATTCCATGAACCAACGGTCATTGGCCCTCCACGTGTCCCTAAACTAGCTACTGGCACTCAAATTAGTGCCAGTAGCTAGTTTAGCTACTGGCACTAGCTTTATTATTTAGTAGCTTTATTATTAAACTAGCTACTGGCACTATTTGATTAACGATGTTGCCCACGACTAACGAGATGGTGAACGAAGCCACGAGGTGTCCAGAGAGCAGTGTATATATACACGTGTTGAGGGCAAGGCTGTGGTGAGGGGACGGGTCCCCAGAGCCGCGTGTGGAGGGGTCTGGAGGGGCGTGTGGAGGGGTGTGGAGGGGCGTGGAGGGGCGTGTGGAGGATGTGGAGGGGCGTGGAGGGGCGTGGAGAATGTGGAGGGGCGTGTGGAGGGGTGTGGAGGGGCGTGTGGAGGATGTGGAGGGGCGTGGAGAATGTGGAGGGGCGTGTGGAGGGGTGTGGAGGGCGTGTCTAGGATGTGGAGGGGCGTGGAGGGGGCGTGGTTCAGGTC